AATTAATATTCACTCGACTTATTCTATCGAGACGGCCTATTAAAGAGAGTCCATTAAGACTGCGTCCTTTCTCGAGCAGATCAATCGTTTAGATCACTAAATTTGGTCGCGGCAGCCAAGCGATCCGGAACGGGCAAACGGCAGAGGATGCAATTAGCAGTGTTCGAAAAGTTACCTTCAAAGCTTACGGCTGACGTCACCAAAATTGCATACGCTAAACCAAATCTTATTACCCACGACCAATTTCCATCCGGTTCTCCATTGTTATTGTTACTTATTGTTAGCGATCAATCTCCGCAATTACGATTCATCAAAATCGATTGCTATTCGCCATCTCTACCCGGTCTTCTCAAAATTCGGAAAGTGCCAGCATTAATGTACGTCTGTTATCATCACTCTGTTATTATTACTAGTAACACCTGATCTTGATTATGGTAGATCGACTGCATGTAGGTCTAAGTGATCGTAAAGTCTGTCATGAAGTAACGTGCGATCACATTGTTGGAGGACACGATTTGCAACAATTGCAACACGGGATGATAAATGACATGCCGAGAGGGTAACCACTATCTGAAATATTGTCCCACAGATTACATGATTTCATTTAATTTTATATAATTTTATTTGATGACAAATAATTTTTCCTCACTATATGTATATGCGGTCATTTGGTAAAATAAACGATTTTATCTAATATTACACAATTACTTCTTGTAATCGTCGGATTATATATCGAAATTTTGTATAAATTTTATAATGATTTAGGGACTCCGTCTCACGATTACATTAAGTGATTACCCCCTCTTGACATGCATTTAGCGCGAATAAATGTCGGAGAAAGAAAGTCAGAGACAATGAAAACGTTCATGATGACCAGCAAAAAATGTTTCAATCACAGTGATATAACTGCACTGAAAATATTTTCTTTACTTCTTTGTAGATTTCATTTTCAGGCTTGTTTGTTGAGTGTGACATTATCGTAATGAAATCACGTAACTTGGCTAATCTTTGATTCATGTACATATAATTAAACGGCAAGGATAAAAATAAAGAATAATTCGAAGGCTTGTCAGATATGGTAACTTAAAATATACATTAATATTGGAGGGAACTGGATAAAATTTTTTCTTTAAATTATAACTTTAATTAGTTTTATTACACTATATAACGATATTCTAATTAGCTATCTCTCTATTGCAAGCAACTCAATTTGAAATCTTCGTTAAACATAAATATCTTAATTCGTTAAAAATATTGTTTAAAAAAATAATTAGAAAGCTATAATTTGTTAAATATTCTATGTAAAAAAATCTGCAAAACGTTTTGTTTGATTCGTTTTAATAAATTGATACCGTCAGTAGGATAAAAATAATTTTGCAAGAACCGCGAATGTTATCAGTTGACAAAAATATCCATCAATCTCGCTTTTATAAAGACGAGTAAAGGAGAGACGAGAAACACAAAAATATGTAGACGCAGGAGAACCGCTATCGAGTGTACTTCTGCGATTCGTTCGATAAAACTCAATTTTGATGATTGCTGGAGAAAGAATGTGTAAGCGAAAATATTGCTGTTTAAAGAAAAAATGCATTTAATAATTTTATCTTATCAGATCAGGACGTTGTTATTAATATAGTTTTGAAGCTGATGACTTTATAGTCATTTTTTATACGGTCGAATAAAGTGTCAGCTTTCAATACATATCTCATCTGTTTTGTGGAATGCACAGAAATGTAGTTGTTCTCTATTTTTTGTAATAGATACTTCGAACGTGCATTTTTTCCAAGATTTTGCTGTGCCTTTCCTCTCAAACGACACAATGACTACGTTTCCGGGGGGAGAGCGGGGGGAGCGGTGCTTTGTGACACCAAATACGAGTTGAAAAGTCCAGGCGGGATGAATTCAATTTTCGGACGCGGGGAGAATCAATTATCGGATCTTGAAACATTCTTATTGAAAGACAAAAGAAACTCGCTCGGATAAATTGTGTCTAAACTTGCCGATAAATGCGAAAGTTTTCGACAAAACTGTGCTCCTCATTTATTTCTTTCAAAGAGACAGAAATATATCGGTATATCTCAACGTGGAGTAAATCCTACAGTTCTCACTAATAACGAGAAACGCAAGTTCCCTCTAAAATGCCAGCGAGCGACGAATGTTTCTGACTACATTATTATCAAGGCATTTGATTGACTTTTCACTTCTTTGTAAGTTCTTCAGAAAGGTGTTTCTATCCAAAAATACATTTTGTCTGTTTCACGAGGCATTTCCGATAACGAGACAATGTTTCTCGATCTTTCTCGCAGCTGTCGTCCACGATCGATGCTGTATACTAGGTAGAGTTTTTAAGCATAAAAAATCAGAGGCATGCATTATAGTTGATCGGAACAATAAGAGAGGGAGAGAGAGAAGAGGGACAATGCAGGAAAGTCGCAAGGGGAGCGTTTCGAGTGGCCCATTTCTCTTATCACGATAAAGCTTGGGCTTGGCTTGATCATCACGGAACCTAACGCTCGGAATGATTCACTTTTCAATTGCGATTCGTTACGATCGTTCTCCTGCAGTTCTCGCGAATCCGTCATCGTGATGATGAGTACGACAAGCTCACTGCCACCGCTGTTGTTGCCTTACTGTGACTATCATCGACATGGATGATCCAAAATCGGCTAACAACTTGGAAGTTAGGATGGATATGGAACTGGTGACTCGAGCATCGTTCAGTTCGCTGCAGAAGGAAGACGACGGCCGCATCATCTCTTCCGATAGCTTTGAGGAGTGGACATGGTCTGGCCTACGGGTAAGTAAACGATTAATTATACGTTAGAATTATCTGCTGCCTTTATCGACGAATATTTAAAAAGTCTCAATCGAATGAGTACTTTAACGAGCTCTTGGCAGACCATACGGCGTCTTACCGTTTGATCCACGTTACTAAGAATTTCGATAGCTATATCTTTTAGATTGTTTTGTTATTATTGATATAACTTACAAGATAAATATGCATCTTTATTTGTATTTTATAATTGATTCAGAGCATTTGACATTATTTTTTTATTATAATTTGAAAATTGTATAAAATAAAATTAATCTATGACTGGAAAATTGTTAACAGACTCTCACTCGTTTTATCTATGTATTATTAATTAAATAACTAAAATTTATAATTAAATTGTATATACATAGGTAAAGCAATTTTCTGTATTGAAGATTTGTTTTAGTTTTTCATTTTTTTTCTTGAATTTTAAAATTCAAATTTTAGGTTGAAAAATTTATGATAGCAAAACAATTATTTTGTAAAGCTTGAGTTCCTGAACCTATTAAACTTGGCGTGGTGCGTTAAATAAATAGTTATTTTAATATTCTGATTCTTGAAACGTTGAATATTCTTGACCATGTGTTCCTTTCAAGCCTACATAAAAGAAAAGCCGTGAAACTTTTTCAAGTGTAAATATAATTTAGCACACAATTGTGTATCTTGATTTTGAATTAAAACCTGACCTCTGATTTAATATCGATGTCATTGGTCGCTAAAGGACGTTTAAAAAAATAAAGAATTTGCATTAATAATAAAGCGTAATCGCGGCAAGAATATTGCGAGGTATAGCTTTAACCGAAAGAAATTCACCAACGATTCGGAACGTCCCAGTATTGATAATCACGCTGTGAGACGATGTTACCTGGAAAATAAGATTATGGAAGAATTTTTAACATGAGAGTCACTATCGGAAAGAAACGACTCGTCAAGTGAAGCGAGTGAGAAAGAACGAGTGAATTTTTCGAAGGTGTTGCTTATCGAACGGCGATCAATTTATCTGAATGACCGAAGTATATTCACCGTGACGCTCGAAAGCTCTAGAAGAGCTATGTAAAGCTATGCGGAAGGAAACTTTATTAATTTTTTCCTACATTCTTTTTTTGTACGGTGTAAGTTACGATAAATTAATTATCGCGATTAATTAAGCGATTTAAGAAGGAAGTGTCATAAGAATCGATGATAATAATTCTGGAGGAGATTTCATTCTTGAATAAATAGTTTCTACGATAATTATGGAAAATATAGCGTCACTTTTTCTTGCACCGAATTATTTAAACACCAAAGATCCACCGTTATAAACTCTATTTCCTATTGATTTGTTTATTATACATGAACGGTCCAATGAGATTCTTATCGTTTCACTGTTTATTCTTCATTTGTTCCGATTGCACATGTGAATTTTTCTTAAATGCCGAACAGAATAACTCGCTTGATTAAAATCATTTTTTTCGATTCAGAGCTTGCTTTGATTTGACGGCCGTTATATGTATACCTACTATATAAATCAATATTCGGAGAACTAATAAGAATATCGAGCAAATCTCATTTAATCCTTTCGATGCGTTTGCTGTGATAAGACCGATATAGTTTGATCGAAAACGCAATTTTTATTTATGTTTGCTTATTTTAAGAATTTTGATAACAAGATATTTCTATTTCAATATATCGGAAAATTTCTTAGCAAATTAGAACGCAATACTGCAGAGACAACTCTCGGAAACATAAAATTACAAATTTACTTTTATTATTACAAGGTGATAATTCAAGTATTTATGTAAAAAAATTTTTATGTATTTCTCTCACGTAATACTTAAATGTTACTATCTAATTGGGCAATCATTTATGAATGAACGTATTTATCGTTGCCGAATGTGGCGTTATTCGAGTAACATTGAATTGAAAGGGGTGAAGGATGAAAAGAAGAAAAAAGAACGACGAATAATACTATGAGAGTAAAATATAAAAAGGACAGAGGCGCAAAGGAGACCTGCTGCGCGAATTCGGGATTGAAGATCAATATTCGGCGGGACGAGAGAGAGAGAGAGAGAGAGAGAGATCACTAAGCTGAGCGGGAACGTGCTGACAAAACGCACGCGCGAGACGAAAGCACGAAAGCACGTTTCCCCGACTGCTGCTGCTGCAAGTGGAGCTAGGTTCCTTCAAGCGCACCTTGGCTAACCGTTGCATTTTAGACGGACGCGACTTTTCAGCGGGTGTGGTCGTGTGCTAGTAATAATCTACCTCGCGGTGCAAATCTCGGATCTTTCGGCCGATCAACATGTGAGTATCGTCGAGCAGATGTTCCGCCTTGTGGACACTCTACTTTTTGATACGTCGCGCGTTATCTGAATATACCTATCGTTAGGGATGATAATATATTCTATTTGCAGTCGATGACCGCAATGATGAAATCTCATCAAAATTGTTGGGGAGAAATCTTTTTTTAGAACATGTGCGTACTCAGATATCTTTAAATACCTGTAAATCGTCGTGTGCTAGTAATAATCTTGCTCGCGTAATTTATCGCAGAATATTGCGAGAAATAAGAATTAAATTCTTCAAAAAAAAAAAAAAAAAAAAAAAAAAAAAAAAATTGTCTGAGAAGAATATACGCGGGTCGGCTCGATTTCAGCCTCTCCATACTCGAAATCGATATTGACATTTAGTCCTAACTTCTTCACTCTCAGTGCTACGAAGATTGTGATTATTAGAAATTTGTTGAAACTAGAATTCGACTTCTGAGTGAGTTGAAATGAAAGAATTTGGGCAGTCATTTAAATATATATTCTAATATTTCAATGTATTTTAAATGGTCGTTAAAGAAGATTGAGTTAAGCCGCGACCGCGCGTAATTTCGACATACCAGCAACTCGAAGGCGCGCAATTTCAGCGGGAGCACGTTGCATGCTGAAGCAGTCGGGACTACGCCAGATGACAGCCGGATGCAGCTTTATCGTTTTACGAGCTTTAGCTGTGTAATTTGCGCGCGCGCCACACGCACGCAATCGCTATCATAATCGCTATATAATCGTCGTGCGAGCGAACGTACTGCTGGCGGAAGTGCAGCCCCGCCGGTTTGGGTTCATATAAGGACTAGATTTCTGTCGCAGTCTCCTATACAGAGACGACTTTGGTGTTCGTCGACGTGTTAGAGAAGAGTCGTGTTGTTAGAAAAGCTGAGAGTAAACGAAAGTGATTGAGAGTGTGCGATTACTAAACCTAATTCATCGATCAGCTACTTCACCCTTGGATCGTTAAAATCACTTTTTTCATTTTATACAAATAACGAAGTGACAATAATTCATGCATTTCAACACGTTATTAAGTATTGGTAACAAAAATCGGAGACTCCTGAAGTAAGGAAGTATCCTCCATTCGAGTGATTGCACGCAAGTGTTCTGTCTAAAAATTTACAAACACTTCTCAAAGAATGATAGAAAATAATAACGTGACGATGATATTTGTAAAGATACACACCCCTATGCTTGCTTCATCAGTATAACAAAATCTCCCCTCTGATATAAATATATACGAGTACAATCATTCACTGAGACCTGACATAATTGCTTTGATGGAACTAAGGTGTAAAGTAAAGGACTTTGTCATTAACGAAACGAAAAGTAACGTCTCTTTTCGCTGAGACGATGTTGAACTGCGCGTGTTACTCACAATGGCGATATTTATCATCCTTAATCTAAATTGACTGATATACTTTCTCTGGAACGATAACAGTGCATACTCCGAATAATCTATACAATGCTATTTCCGAAATGAAAAGAAGATATTATTTCAATTATAATTGAATGTTCTTTTGCGCTTTCTTACTTTCGCGCCTAATTATATTGTTATATCTATTTGTAAAACTAATAAAATCTTAAAAGCATAATTAATAAATAATAAAGATTGTAAAGAATTTATTTGCTCGTAGCCCTGTTTCTCTTTATATTAGTAATAAACAATTATTTATTAATTAAAAACTATAAAGGATGATGATGAATAAAATGTTTAGATTAAATTTGGTCAAATTCTTCTAGAAATAAGATCTCGACATTTTTTTTATCTCCTTTTTGAATCGCTAAATATTTTTAACAATTGACAATTTTATCATTTTATCGTCATAAGTTTTTTTCCGTGTTTCTGCAGCAATTTGCTGATTCAGCGAACTGATTAGGATCTCATACAAGTTTTCACTTTCAGAAACAATTCAAGTACAAGAACTTAGAAAAGCTGTACACGATCTATCACAGAAGAATACAATATGGTTATCTCTCGATATTCATCTTATTACAACTGGTACTTGGACTTGCGTATTGCTCGTCTTTGATCATAACGGTAAGCTTATTATTTATTATTAAAAATACAGCAAAAGGAAAAAGAAAGCGTTTTATTTTATTTATAAATTTTTAATAGCATGAATAGTTGGCCAGGCGTTGTATTAAAATATATCTTTTTATCAAAGTTTTAACTTTTGCAAAAACTATGTAGGTATTTAATAATAACTTTATATAATCTTCAACCTATATGTTTTTAAATTAAACTTAATATGTTTTTATTTTAAAACTTATTATACTTTCAAAAAAAGAATTTAATGGTTTTTAAAACTAAATATCCATTTAAAATGTAATACAAAAAATTACTTAACCGTTTAATATTGGAAACTTATAAATACTTAAAAATCAAAAATTACTTGTAGATTCTACTGCAGTAATTTCTTAATTAATAACGCCACTCGAAGATGTATAAATAATTCAAGTTTGACAAATTTGTATATAATATGTGATGTTGAGGAACATAAGCTAGAGTTTTCTTCTTGATTTAGGTCGGCATGAAGGAATGCTTGTTGGAAATCGTAGTCTATTGCATTGTGGGCGCTCTGATGTGTCCTATGATCGCCCTATCATTTCGATCAAGGCACATCGCCAAAAATACCTATTTGCCGATCATGCTGTCTTGGATGATTATTGTGCTTTTGGTCGTTTGTGATCTGACCATACCTCTATTTTACGTTTTCACTTACGCCGAGGATATTCCGCCGATAAGGTATTGATAACTTGACCTGCGACAGGAATAATCGTGCATCTGATTATCATCACTATTTTAGTATCAGCTGTGGTGACTTTCTTGCGGCGGCCGTTTATTTAGTGCACGGTTTATCGAAATTATTCCGCGATAACTGCATGGCACAAATCGCGTAAATATTTATTACTGATAAAAGAGTGTCCTCGCACGTGCAAAACGAAAATAGCAACTGTCAGAATGGCAATTGATATTATAACTGGTCTCTATCTGGCGCAAAACAATAATATAATTTAAGAACAGGGACCTTTTTTAAATGGAACGCTGCTTAAGATGTATGCGATGTATTCTTTACGCGATTATAATATAGTATACATATATAATATATGTTAGAAGATTAAGAAACTGAGAAGTTCCAATTGTATATAGTAGTTGATTTATAAAAATATAAATTTTATATAGTTATAGAATACTCTGAATTTTATGTGACATTTCAAAAATATGAAAAAGATATCTTTAACAAACGATTTAAAAAGAAAAATTGATCTAATGATTTGCCTTTAGTCTAATGATGTAAAAGGCCTTCCTAGCAGAATATATAAATCCAAAATATTCTTGACTCGCGCACACATTTTATGTTCTCCACTAATCGTTTAATCAGTTTAATGTGTCTCGCGCGCGCGATTGCATTTTTTTCCTCGTTAAATCTGAGGTCCGTAATACGCAGTAAATGTAAACGATTACGTACTTTTTCAATTTTCGTCAATATATACATGCATCCGCGATCTCGTGCATCACACTTATACACAATGCTTTTACAGCAGCATTTCTTTCTTTTCAGACCGGCATACGCGACGCACTCGCTTCTCGCATGCTACGTGTTCCTACCGATCACAAAGAATTCGCACGCTCTCGTGCTCGGCCTTACAGCCAGCATGTGTTACTTGGCGACCCTGTCAATAATCACCTACAACAACACGTCCGATCACATTACCAAGGTAAACCCTAGACCGACGATGCGCGACGTAATTGTTGGTGCAAACCGCAGCGCGATTGTAAACTCGAGTAAACCAGCAGCTAAGAATGGAATGCTTTTCTTTCTTTCATCCACTCCCCAATCGCAGATTGTCAGCGATGCGATATACTTCATGTGCGTGAACGCTCTGGGACTCTACTTCAGGTTCATGAACGAAGTCGTCATCAGACGTTCCTTCCTGGATCGTCGGAAATGCGTTGAGTCCACGCTCAGGCTCAATTATGAGAAGGATCAAGAAGTAGGTTTAAACGGACGTAATTCAAGTATTGCGTCACATTTCGTTTCACATTTGTCAGATTAAAAATGAGATAATTTCGGAATAATCATTAATGAAAAGCGTGTATTGCAGAAATTAAATCTTCATTTCACTCTTCATTTTCTCCTTTGTCTTTCTTTCTGTCTTATTCGAGTAATTCTCGTTTAGCAAATGAGTAGCATTCCGTATGAGGAATGTAAAAACAAATTCACGTGAGCACGTAAACATGCGGCCGTGATGAACAGAATTGAGTTCCGGTTTTCCTTTGCACTTCCCTACAACGATTATCCATTTCTACCTCCTCGAAGAATAAATACATGTACAAAAATTTGAATTAACGCAAAATTGAAAAAAGATATTTACTGAGAAATCGGAATTTGCAAAAATTGCAAACTCTAAATAAAAATTATAGAAATTTAACCATCGGCAATGTGAAATTTTCATGTTTTATTTGCAACTTGGATCTTCAGTGCAGATTTTTATATTGTTCTGGATTATACAAAAATCTAAAGAAATTCTTCTACGCACTTGTAACAGTTTTACGTAACAATGAATTTTTGTTATTATAGAAGTTGGACTGTATTTTTTACAAACTTAAATTTATCTACCAGAGTTTACAATAAAAAAAATCGACAGTGCCTTTAAAGTCAAACGAGTCCAACATTGCCGATGGAGAATTAAATTTGGATATATCTGGAAATAATCAACAATTGTAGGAGCAATTGACACGGAGTATATTGCCACAACACATAGTGGCGAAAATCAAAAAGGACTTTCGGGATATTTTCAAATTCATAGAAGAGCACAAGAAGAGTCCTCCGCCAAAAGGCAGGCCATACTGGTATCTATATATACGATGTCTTCGTAACAAATACTTCGCCTTCGATTTGATTATTATTGTTCTCCAATTGTTCTCTTTCAGCGATTTATGCGTGGAGACGCACGATAACGTGAGTATTCTGTACGCGGATGTGGTCAACTTTTCCGGATTAACTGTAACGCTACCGATACGGAAACTCGTGGAGACGTTGAACGATCTATTCGGCAGTTTCGACGAAGCATCCGAGAGGCACAATGTACTGAGAATCAAATTTTTGGGCGATTGTTACTACTGCGTGAGCGGCGTGCCTACGCCAAACTCTCAGCATGCCAAGAGCTGTGTCGATCTCGGTAAAATGAGTGCTATTTATGCATCCAGTCATTCAACGGAATGTAATTCAATTAGCAAAAGTTGAGCGGATATTTAGACAATGCTATTTTATACATTTTACATTTCTAAAAATAACGTGTTTGTTTCCAAATTCGAAAATAGACTGCAAATATGTTGTAATTCGTCGCGGATCCAATTACACATTATTTTGATATACTCATTAATTCAGAGATATCTTCTGCAGACGTTTATTCATGAAAAGTTTGAAAATATTAAAAATCTCAGTGACTCTTTTATATTTCAATAATTATTGTATTATTTGATAATTAATGTTCAATTATAAGAAAATAATCCTAGATGTTTTCTCTTAAATATTATTTCATAAAATGTGATATATAGGCCTCGATATGATAAAAATCATCAACGAGGTGAGAGCGCGAGTCTACCACGAGAGCGGGGTGGACGTGAATATGAGAATCGGCGTGCACTCAGGCAACATAATATCCGGAATCCTGGGCACGAACAAGTGGCAATACGACGTTTGGTCGCGCGATGTAGTGATAGCGAACAAAATGGAGCAAACTGGGAAACCTGGCAAGGTCCACGTTACTCAGCAAACGCTGGATCTCGTAAACGCGAGCGATTATAACTACATCCCGGTCGAAAGATTGGATGACGAGGTCCTTCGAAAATACGAAATCCGTAGCTACCTCATCACGCCGTCTTTGCCAGAAACGCTGATACTGTCACCGACGCGGTGCGTGTTTCCCAGTGGCGTGGGAAAATCACAAATTTCTACTTAATACTATTTTTAAATATTTAAAAAAACATGTAAATTTTCTCTATATTTCTGACAAGTGCTCTAATTTATATAAAAGATTTGAGAGATTATTTAAAAAATTATCCAGAAATTCTAAAAAATTTTGAAATTTACAAAATTCTGAAAAATTATATTTAAAAATCTGAGAAAATTATTCAATAAAATAATTCCTATAATTTGCGTTTCTCTATGGCTTTCACATACTACAGAAGTATTCAATATCACCAATGAATACTCCTACGCCACTGTGATCTCTTACACTATGCTCTCGAGCGAATTCCCAGTCGAGTGTTTCGCATCGTTGACAGATGAACTTTGTTGCAGAACAGCGAGAACAGTTTGAACACCATTAGTCCGGATACGTATTCTATGTCTAACAAGCACTATGTCAAGTTCAACAATGGACGTACCAACACCATTATCAGCACCAATTCTAGAACAAGATTAATGGTGAACAATCAGGCAGACGTTTTTGCGAGCACTTATAGACGGAGAACGCACTTTATGGATTCTTGTCTACGAGATTATCATCTGATGTTGAAAGCAGCGGACGCCGAGATGGAGAATGCAATTAACCAGATGCCTCTTAGCAAATGGGAGTAAGAATTTTTACATTTTTTTAAATTTTGAGCAAAGTATTACATTTCAATAGAAAAAGAGAGAGAGAGAGAGAGATTATAAAATTAAATTACGCTTTTTCTAGACAATGGAGCAATTGGAAACACATAAATCCACTCTTCCTGACATTTCGGCAATGGAGTTGGGAGATTCCATTCTTGCGTGAACCGGATCCTGTCTTCAAATTTTACATCGGCTGTTCTGCCTTCGTGCTTATCTTCATGGGACTTATGTATCTTGTGCCTACGTTTATGTTGCCTCAGTAAGTGTATCGAAAGTACACCTTTCGGTAATCATAATCAGGCTGTCGACTTAACAATACAAAAATCGGTAAATGTTTAGATGGCATCTGCGCACACTTGTCGGTTATTTTTCGGCATTGATGTTTTTACTCGTTTTAATACCCCTCACATGGATGCACTTCGTATGGAATCGCTGCAAGGACCCGCATGACGAGCACGAAGGACACGTTCCGCATCCACGAAACAAACTACTCTACTTTTTTTATCAAACAAGTGTAAAGGTGGATAAAACGTTATAATACTTAATACCTATTGTATACGTATTTATTTAATAACATCAACTTTTTGTATACTTTGTCTTTCATGTTATAATTTTAACGTAGGTTGTATGGAGTGCCCTTCTGAGGACGATCTTGTACTTGGTGATTACGATAATGCTAGCAGCATGCGCCATGCTTGATATGATTGTAAGACTTTTCTTTTAAAAAATTACGAGTTTTTCCCCTTTTCTGTCTGTTATTTCATATAGAGAGATTTGCAAAATCGGCTTTTGAAGTAAATTGTATATTAGCTGTAAATCAAAATAATTTTTTTCTTTTACAATTAAAGAGAGTTAAAACTCTTTCTAGTTTGAATGTAAAAACCACCATGAGGACAATTTATTGGACGATAACGTAACGTCTAGGGTGTCGGAGATTTCTTCCAAGTTCGACTGCATAGCTACACCTTGGGTAAGATTATTTAGTAGGTACATGGTGATCTTCATTCACGTGAAATTTCCTATCTCGACAATTCCTTTCTCGATATTCCCGTCATTGGTTTTTCTTTTCCAGCAAATGACAGAAACCTGCTCGTTGGCGATTCTCACGAGTTTCCTCTTCCTGAGAGTCCACTATATTTTGAAATTCGTGATAAGCATCTGCGTGGTAGCCTTTTACGCGTGGAACGTTTGGGTGCACCGATCTAATATATTTCAGGTGTTACATGCATATTTCTTAAAAAAAAAAAAAAAAAAAAAAATGTTTCTCTTACAAAATCGATAAACAAAGTACATATCGCCTCAAAATATCTGGCACACATTTACAAAATTGTTTGTTATTGTAATAATAAATGACAGACAGTATATGCCTTTTAGTTGAGCGACACGTGGAATCCTAACATGGAGCCAAGACTGGCGCATATATTGTCCGTTTTATTTCTTACGTTTTCTTTGCATCTCATCGATCGTCAGGTAAGCCCTAAAATATCGCATTCGCGCGAAATCTTTTTGATGTTCATCAACGAGTTAATTTTATATGTATTTATTAGGCAGAATATTTAAGTAGGCTGGATTATCAGTGGAAACGTCAGTTAACGAAGGAACAGGACGAAGCGTTTCATACAAGAAATGCCAACAAGCTTCTACTTCGTAACATCTTACCGGAGCACGTCGGTGCGTTGGTCTTCGCAAATATTTTACAAGTTTTTTTATAAATTCTCCGAGCAATATGTTGATTTAAAAAACATTTAGTAATCGAGATGATTATTGTCTGAGTCTGATCGCGTGACTGGTTAATTGTATTTTTAGCCGAGTTTTATTTGAACATGAATCGAACTGAGGAGAACGAGCCTTATCACGAGGCTCATAACAATGTTGCTGTGATGTTTGCCTCTTTGACAGAGCTATCGATTGTCGAAAGTAACATTCTCAGCGACCTGAACGAAATTATTTGTGAATTCGACAAGTTACTCTTTGAACCTAGTTTCATGTGTCGCATAGAGAAGATAAAGGTCGCCGGTGAGAATCTCATATTTATGACGAACAAATTAATATTGACACAAACTGAATTCCAAATAACAATTTGAGTTTGCCTAATACTGTTTTTATTTAGGCACAACGTATATGGCAGCTTGCGGATTGGAAGCGCACCGACGTGGTTCAATGCACAGTACCGAGAGCGACGAGAGTTGCAGCGACAATGTGGTCAAGGTGATGGCGCAATTCGCCGTACAAATGATGTCCGTGCTCGATAGAATGAACGCAAGGTCGTTCACTACATCGAAACCTCACAAGTAAGTAATTCCAAGTACTTACGATAAAAATCAGTAGACAAAATTACAAGAGACTTTGACGAAACGTTTAAAACACATTTGAGAATGTCCATAACTTAAACGGACAAATACTGTTCCAATTAATAATAATATAAAAAAATTCTATTTTTTTTATAGATTAAGGATTGGTATTTCTCACGGAGAAGTGACGGCCGGCGTCGTGGGGGCTCAAAAGCCATTGTACGATATTTGGGGCGATGCCGTAAACATGGCGTCCAGGATGGATACTACCGGACTACCAGGAAAAATACAAGTAAACATTTAACATTTCATTTAATATTAATGAATTTATATGAAACCATTTATACCTTCGTTCATTTAGGTGACAGCAGATACGGCTGCTGTCTTGGAGCAACAAGGTGTCAAGTGTCATTTACGTGGCGAGACGTATGTCAAGCCGAAAGGAGAGGTCACGACGTACTTTGTAGGTATCGACGAAAAGGGAATGTTGGAAAGAGTAGATGCGAAGGAAGAGAGTACCAGTTTGTGACAAACAATAACAAATGATAACTTGAATTAACTTTAGCGATCGAGCTCTCCCGATTGATAAATCGTCTAAAGCGTGCAGGGTGTAGTCGAACAGTCGTCTTTAAATAGAAATGAAAAAAAAAAAAAACTAATTAATTAAAGATACGAGAAGAACTTTTTATTCTTTGAGATGTACCTCTATCCATATCTAATCAAGTTTGATATATGAAGTATTATATTGTGTTCAGGAAGAAATATTTCGGCAAATTTTTCGGTAAAATTGCAGCATGTAATTTCACGTAATAATTATTAAAAAAGACTCATTTATGGATCTATAATATCGTAAACATATTAATATTTGTAGTGTAAATAAAGATAATCGATATACAATAAAGAGATTGTAGGAGCGACGTACGTGAGCTACACCCTGTCATGTTGAGTGAGTATGAAGAAACCAAAGAAAATGAGAGAGATCAAAGATTGCGGGGCACGAGATGACATGAAATGGTAGTAAAATAACATAAGGATATATCTCGAATTATTAGGTTGTATGCGAAAACACGCGATAATAGCGTCGTTATTCCCGTGAATCGATTGTTATCACCGAGTAACACTTCTGATCAAAATGAAACAGACTACACACACATACGCGCGCGCGCGTGCGCATTCCGTGTAGGCATTGAAATTACGACAAAGTTTTTGTTTTGAAAGTATCACATCCGAAAGATACATATACACCGCGCGCGCGCGCGCGCGCAGCACACACAAAGAAAAATATTCAGTGCATCAAGCTATTTTACATGATGCACAGTAATTAATTGCTATTATTGAATCAGCTCGATTTTCATGTAGTAGTCACGCGATATTAGATTTACTCAGAACATACGTCGAGAAGAAAATTTTAAGACATCCAATGTCACACACTAACAAGTTTAAGGGCGTAACTAATTAAGAACAATATTTCTGACGCCTATGTCTCTGTATAGAAATCCAAGGTATACAACATTAAAATGTAAGTGACGCGCGAAGAGATTTATCCCCTAATATAAAATACTATAAATATAATACCTTTAAGAAATATATTCTAAGATCATCCGCATGTATCCTATAAGGATATCTCATATGTGCAGTCGTTAATTTAAACGGCTAAATAATTACACAATAATGTAATTAACAATAATGTTAATCTTATCGCAAGTACCTACATATTAAATTATAAATCAAATCCGAACGTCCGAAGATTCATAAGGATATGTCCATAAGGATATTCTTGGGACTATATTTTGCTATATATCGAAAGAGTGATATTAGAAAGTCGTGCCCGTTGAATTGATCTGTTTGATTTAAAACAGAAAGATTGAAAAGCAGGATTTCCAAATAGCTCAGCAGCGCTTGCAAAGTGCTAAAAGCGATTACACGCGCTTTGTTAATGTTTTGTAGGTGTTGTGTGCTATTTCGGTTTAATATACCTATATTTCTTTAACACGTATCTACCGGCCAAGTAAAAACGACGACATGTATGTTGCGATAAAACATTGTAAGGCGAAAAGTATTTTTTTACTTTGCAGTTATAAAGCAAGCGAGAAAGAATAAATTGCGACGAACTTGAAATCAATTCAAGAGAATACTAGTTGTCAATTCATGAGCGCGCATCACAAAACTAACAACGCACGTCTGTCTTTTTCTTGCTTTTGCGTATTTTCCTGAGTGTTGCGACTCATTAATTTACGATTGCGATTGCGTATCGTAAGATATAAAGATTATGGAGAGAAAATACGTTACGAGACATATTTATTTTTATATCAAGTGTAATAATGACGGATCGTTTAGTTGTTTATTTGTAAATATCTTTTGTATATATTTTTTAAATATTAGAAATAATTCACTAATGTGATTGTCCAACGACTTGAATAAAATATTTATTACCAAGTAATTTTTTCACTTAACTATTATTCATCTATATGTATAACTTATTCTGCTGGTCCTTCAAAAATGTATTGTTTAATATAGTGTAACTAACACGAATCGAAGCCTGTAACAGTTTAGCTGGATCTTAGTTGCTTGTTAATCAAACAATACCGAGTCTCGGTAACGTAATTGGCTAGAAGACTTGAGCGTAAAGCGAACGGGGTCCGGGTTCGACTCCCGATCGGGGTAATATTTTTCGCAATAAGAATTATTTTCAAATTTTCAGATTTTAACGTCGTTAAAGATCGATATAAGATGCCAAAAGAGCATCAAATAATTATTAAATTGTTAATCAATTTTATTCGTGATAGTACTGCGGTAGTTTATTGGAGTTGCGTTTCAAGACCGACAATTGCGTTCGGCGCGCAGTTTAGAAACACTACGTATATCAGTATATAAATTCACGCGAAATTATATCATATGTAACTATAAGATTCAGCTAAACTGTTATAGACTTCGATTCGTATTATAGTTGTGTTGTTACATTAACGGTCCTTTAAAAAATTTAATATATCGTTTAATATAGTATACGAGATGTTTAATAAAATAAAGTTTAAAATTAAATAATTAAATTTGGAATAACATATTTGCATAATTCATCAAATATATTGATATATTCATTATATTTCTTAATCATTAATCGCTCTAAAATTTTGAGAAATAAATAACTCTAAAGTTTAGAATTTTTATCGTTATCTTTAACAATACGTTTTTTATACGTTATATACATATTAATATCAAATAGAATTTATAAAGTAGCGCTTATATCACTACTCGCTAAAAACAAGATTTTCATACAATCATATTTTTATAAATAAATATGTAATAAAACTAATTATGTATAAGTAAAAAACAACAATGTAATACAACATTTATAATATGTTGTACTTTCATAGAAATTGCCTTCAAATAAAAGAAAGATCTTGTTCTAAATTCAAGTAATAAAAAATAAAATAATTTGAAAGTGTAAATTTCCTTTGTTCAAAATCTTTACACTATACAAAGTTAGCCCTTTAAAATTAACTAACTTCAAATGTGTTAATTTCTCTCAATTTTCTTTAAAATATATCTAATAGATTTCATAAAAATTTTTTAAACAAAACATCTATAAATTATAATTTTATTATAACTCAAATGATTTTTGATTTTCAAAAGTAATTAGCATCAATATTTATCTACATTATCAACATTTATCTAAGTAAAAAATATACAGTACTCTGTATAATTATAAAAATAAATTGGCCAATAATATAAAGATCAATCTTTTATTAAGTAATATACAAAACTTTTCGCATACACAGTATGCACATTTGTTTTATATCCTGATATAAAACTTGTTAACTCTTTAACATTAATGTAAAATTAAATAATTAAACATTAATCTAATGTATATACATGATAATTCGCTGAAATAATCGTACTTCGTTTATTAATAGAACTTTGAATCGATTATTCTACTTCCCACCCTCCCTCATCCTCTCCCACTCGCTCGCTTATATATATACACACACACACACACATACATTTTCATCCTCTCATCCTTCATTATTCGTACATATATTCGACTAATTAATTTAAATTACAGAAACATTCGTAATTTTGTTCATGTACACTTTTCCCACTCCATCAAAAAATAGTATATATTACATTTTCCCCCACAAAACAAGATGGAAATTCACTTTAATGAAAAAGGCACTTCTAGCTAAAACTCTTTAATACAAATTTATACAAATTGCAAAATTCTCAAAAATAAAGAGCGGTTTTATTATTAAACCTTCAAGTGTGAACTATAGCTTCTGGAAGAAAATACGTATAGTATGTACACGAATGTACAGGCTGTCTCAAATGTGATGTACATCAGTAAAATAACACTGCAAAAAGATTTTAGAAAAATTCTCCTTTGTCTAAAATTTTTATTTTAAATTACTATTCAAGCTTTGATCTATCTTCAAAAAATAAAAACAGATCAGGAAAATTATCAAGTTTACTTTCTTTATGTAACTCGTATCATCAATAAAATATTTTCCGTTATTGAACATTAAAAACATGTACCAAAAAAATGGATAAAATAATGATTAAAAAAAACAAGATTCTGCCATTAATATACAAAGAGCACCCTGTTTATTGAAACAACTCATTCGACATGTTTTATTGTAATTCTCAGTAAACTGTCAATTGTTTCACATTTTAACGTCTGTAAGGAACTTTATTAACTTATATTGCAAAACTGAAGCTGATAAAGTATCTATTCAACTATGTATTTCGTTAATTAACAATTATCTTATTTAAGCTCATAAATCAATTATACAGCTTGACACAATTTTTGCTAATACATTTATAAACACACAATAAATAGATCGGAAACATAGATGCGTTAATTAATACTTTTACGAACGTATTTTAATTAAAAGAAAGAAAAAATATTATCTAACTTTATTTTCTTCGAAAGGAAGGGAAAATTATATACATATCGCAGGGATAAAATTCTATTACTAATTCACATCCCTTCCGAGACAGCCTATATCGTAAGTATATTTTCTCGATATATTCTACATCTTCCGGAAGTATCAGGAGTTTCATATCCGATCGTTCAACGCAAGAACAGATCTTCGAAAATATTTTCCCCATTTTGGATATTACTATCCTGAACAAGAAATTGTATTGCAACTGCATGTCCCATGCGTATCTCATGCATCCCTCTTCTTCCCTTTCGTCCCCTTTCCCAATCCCTCCCGCGTAATCTCTAGAATATCATCTTCGTTTTCACTCGCCAACCGATAAACAGTGCTCTAATCTAATTTAATCACTACTATCATCGCGAGCTTGGAAAAGAACGAAGCGGACGGCGAGTCACAATCGATATCAAATTACATCTCTATTTCGTACTTTTGCAATTACGTACGGAAAAAATCATAAATGAGAAATGCGTAAGGCAGTGCATGTCGAGATCGCGATACTTGCAAAAAAAAGAAAAAAAAGAAAAAAAAGGGAAAGGAATTGTTAGATATACACGTCGAGATGGTATATATGTGCGTTTTACGTTATCGCAATAATCGTAACAATAATATATATTTACGAGCTATGAATGACCCGTGTGCGTCGGTAAAACGGTGTGGCCCGAGAACGGAAGTACAGTTTCACCGATTAAACTGGAGAGAGAAAGGTCCTCAGTATTATTTATTAAACAAATAGAAAGATAGAAAGAGAGAGAGAGAGAGAGAGAGAGAGAGAGAGAGAGAATTTCACGGGTTTTTTTTGCACTTGCTACACTCAGTTCAAGTGCCGCAACGATTCGCTCTTGCCTTCAACAAAACAATACAAACTCTTCTACAGTAGGAAAACTGAAGAGAAATTAAACGTACTGACTGATAAATAAAAAATTTAAATTAATTTTCGAAGGACATACAATACAATAAAAATTAATTTTTATTAGACATAATAAAAATAAAAAAAATTGATATTTAAAAGGTTTTTAAACAAAAACTTGAAATTCGCGACTGATAATTTGGCGATACTTGAATTCAAGCAATTGCAAAAAACGATAAAGAATTTTACGAATAGCTAAGCAAGCGTATCGTTTCGGCTAAAGCCTTATTCATTTTACAATCTCTTTTTTTCAGTCACAAATACAGAAAAATACTAGTTATTACAAAAGCATTTTATAAACCTATCTTTCGAATCGATATTAAAAATAACTTAATAATTTATAGTTTTCTCATATTTAATTTGTTTTGTGTTGAAAATATGAAACAAATTAAATGTGAAAAACTATGTAAATTGCAAAATATAGTTCATAGTTTTCTCACATAATATA